GAGACTTCAATATGCATCACAAGATTAATGACCAAAATGCGTTTTGAAGTCCGAGCGGTCCAACCACATTTCGCTTCCATATTACGACTCTACATAAGTATGAATTATGTGAAGCTGCCATGTTCTCCTTCAGTTAACCAACGAATAGATGTACACTTACAGATAGTAAATAGTATTGTTATATTTTTCTTCTTTAAAAATCACTGTTTTAACTCCATTTTGCTTACATTTTGTTCATTACCCTTGTTTGATTACAATATAACGGCCAGGGCCGTTATTGACAGTGACAAGTGGATAGATACATGTTATATAACGATATAAATATAAAGACAGTCGGGTTGTTTATAACTATTATACATTATAACGAAATTTACCAGGTCTCTTTAGGTAAAGTTATTCCTCTCATAACCTTGAAATATGGATCAGAGGTACTACCAAGCACTGAAGCAGCCACCTAACTCGGGGTTAAACTTGATAACAGATTAAGCTGGAGTCTACATGCAGAGGAATCGGCTAATAAAGGAAAACAAAGATTAAGTCTACTTCATAGAATGACAGGAACGAAGTGGGGAGCAACTAGATGTACTTTCTCTGGCTTACAAAATGTATGTGTGATCTTGCTTGGAATACGCTGGAGAACTCTTGATAACAGCACCTGAAAGTGCAAGGCAAAAAACTGAAAAAGTCCAAAACTCAGCACTCCGGATAATAACAGGTGCGCCAAAGTCTACACCCATCCTAGCTATGCTTGTAGAGAACGTCGAGCCTATAGCGATGTGTAGAGAAGTAAGTTCAATAAGTCTCTACGAACGACTACATAGACTTTCTATAGAGTACTGGTCCAAGAATAAGCCAGTATCAAAAAGACTTGTAACGCAAGTTACTTTTTTAGAGAAAGCTCAACAGCTTAAAGATAAAATAAACTTGCTCCCCGCTCAAAGAGAACCACTTTCTCAGATACCACCTCAGTTTCCTGTGAAAACAGCTTCATATAACCTCAAACTTATTAAATCCATTAAAAAAGAAGAAGTTATACCAGAAGAACTAAGATCCTTGGCTCTTGAAACGATAGCTGAACGTTATCCAGGCCCCCATGGATTCATGTGTACACTGATGGGTCTGCCAAACCAGCAACACACAATGGAGGGACAGTTACATACTCTCAACTGTTTGCTATTTCGAAACCGGTTGAGAAATGGGCCTCAAATTTCGACACCGAAATAAGAGCAATTTTATTGGCACTGCAAGCCTTGTCACAGTTGGATGCCAAAAATCTCACATTGTTTGTGGATTTAAAGGCGGCTATTCTTGCTGTGTCACAGCCAAATGACTCTTTTGCTCAAGATATTCTGAAGTAGAGATGGGCAGCCGGGGAGCCCAATCCCAAATTCGATTTCATTTTCAGAAAAAGCGCCCCCCAAAACATAAGAGTCGACCCTGATATCGATTTAATCCAAAAAGTTAAAAAAAGTTGGGGCCCGGGGGCCTAATCTCAAATTCGTTATCATTTTCATAAAAAGTGCCCCCCAAAACATAATAGTCGACCCTGATATCGATTTAATCCAAAAAGTTAAAAAAAAGTTGGGGTCCGGGGGGCCCAATCTCAAATTCGATATCATTTTCATAAAAAGTGCCCCCCAAAACATAATAGTTGACCCTGATATCGATTTAATCCAAAAGTTAAAAAAAGTCGGGGCCCAGGGGGCCCAATCTCAAATTCGATATCATTTTCATAAAAAGCCCCCACCAAAACATAAGTCGACCCTGCTATCAATTTAATCCAAAAAGTTAAAGAGTCGGGCCCCGGGGGCACTATTTCAAATCCGACAGCATTATCATAAAAGTCAAGAGGTGTAGAAAAAAAAAAAAAAAAAAAAAATGGTCCCCAAAGTTGATTAAATCCAAAATATTTTAATAATTCTTTATTTTATCGATTTACATTAATATCGATACTATTTTAAAAAACTATACCCCCACAAGATAACAATGGACTTAAATATGGAAGAAATGTTAAATATTCTACTCCTGTAATTTTTATAATGAAATACTCGATTACTTTGAAAAGTACTCAGAGTAAAATATTGCTGAGTAGATTTGAAAATAGAAAGTACTCACGAGGACAGCTGATTACTTTTTGTACTCGTCAATCATGAGGTCGAGTAGTGATTGAAGTACTCGATACTCGAACCGGGCGAGTATTTGAGTAAATTACTCTGTAATTGTACTTTTTACTCAGAGTACAATTTTGCCCATCTCTATTCTGAAGTACCAAAAGATCATAGACTATTTCTTCGAGAAACAGAGGTATTCTTTCAGTGGGTACCAAGTCACTGTGGTCTCCATGGAAACGAAATGGCTGATAAACTCGCCAAGGAGGGATCCACATTGAACCAGCCAGAAAATGAAATATCATATCACAGAGCCAAAAAATAAATAAATAAGGCAAGTGAGGCTCTATTACTGGATTCCGTAAAGAGCTGTATCGCGAAAAAGCAGTGAAGAAATTTGTTTAATGAAGCAGATAGAGTTCCCATGAACCTGCAGAGAAAGGAGGCTGTGGCAGAGTTCCGGATGATAACTGGTCACAACTACCTTAGGAAGCACCTGCATAGAATAGGAGTGGCAGACTCTCCACATTTCAACTTGTAATTCGGGAACACATATGGACGCAGCGCATTTAGGTGTATGTTCGTGTTTGTTGAACATAAGAGATACCACGTCGTCTAAATCGGAATGGTAATGGACTGCAAGATCTCTGATGGCAGGGCGGAAGCCGATAAAGAGAGTCATAGTTAAAAAATGAAATAAATAAAGGTCTCTTAAGGTCGTTATAAACGACACTCACTGTATATTAATTACAATTTAAAAAGGATATTTTTGAACAAAAAAAATTCCCTGACTTTTGCCGGTTTAGAAAATTCCCTGACTTTTCCAGGTCAGACACCCTGATTAACTTCATACTTTGTGTAACTCTGAAAAATTATAACTACTTTGTTATAAATTTAAAAATATGATTCATCTATCTGAATATTATAAACTTATCCTAGAGACATCTGAACTCTTAATAAAATTCATAAAAAAAATTGTCCAAATTTTACATAAAAAATTTTTAATCTCATAAGAAGTAAACAATTTTCTAATGATTATTATTAAAATCAAAATGCAATGGCTGGTGGAAAAAGAAAAATGGGATTACAAGTTGGGAAAAAGAAAATTATAAAAACTTTCAAGGGGCGAGAATTTCGAAACCCTATACAGATATTACAACGTATATATCGTGGATGATAAATAGTCAGGACGCAGTAACGTTTGAACTCAAGCACGTGGGTCATCATTAGGGAGTGTTTTTAGCACTGAAGGTGTTCAAATACAGTATTTGGTAGTTAGTTTTTAATTAACAAGTACGGTCTCAGGGTTCCGATATTCGTCTCTAATTCGCCCGGGATTGTTTCAAATTTTGCCTATCTTGCGAAGTCCCTAGAATGGTCATTTTAAAAAATATTTGAATGGGAGTTGGATAGATGTAAAAATAGATACAAACGTAAATAATCATTAAATCTGATAGATGCCTGAGACCGTAACCCACAGCTAACGTGTTATTGTATTTAAGGGTTACGTTTACATTCATTTTATAGATTTATTTATAAATTTTGCTTTTTATCGTTGTAAATTTTTATATTTAGCCTGATGAAGGACCTAAACCGGCAGAAAGAAAGAATAAAGAATTATATACAAGAGATCTTTTTATTGAATTTTATTCTTTGCTCATAATTATATTTTTTAGATTTTTCAAGAAATGTTCTTTCCAATATCAGAAACATATAATATTATTAGCAGTTAAGGAGCACAAAAAAAAATTCCCATTTTTTAAAAAAGATTTCTGTACATTTCTAGGTTTGAAAACTTTCCTGTTTTTGGAAAATTCTCGGTCACTAGACACTCTGATTTAGAAGATAAAAACAACTTTAAATTGAAGCATCATTCATTTTAGTAAAAATATAGTTAGTTCGAAGACTTTTTCACACCACATTCGTGACTTTGAAATTCAGTTGATTTCCCTCGAACTTAACCCTTAGGCCCCTTTCACACTAAAGATGCAAAACATAGGATGCATGCATCTTAAATACTGAACTGTGTAATAGAATGAGAGCTTTCACACAGAAGATGCAAGTGCCTCTTGCAGCCTGGATACAAGACGCACTTGCCTCCAGGGAACCAGCCAGCTGGATATTTTAGCGTGCATCTTTGTTGTTGCTGGTCTTGCATACTCACCCCTTCCACCTTGCTCTGCCCGAAGAAAATTATTTTTGAGGAGCAATCATGGGGTCTAGTGGGCTTACACCACCAACGCTCGGTCTACCCTCTTGATTCACAATTTTCTCTAAGCTCTTGTGATTGACGTCTCTTTCAATTGATTATTTATTTTCAACAATTTTTTTTTTCATTGTTAAATTTATTTTTAACTAAAGGTTTTTACATCAATTGCTCTGATTTTCAACTATTGCTCCTGTAAAAAAAAGTAATCAAAATATAAATAAAGTTGATCATTGAGTTTTATTTCACCATGAAAAACCGAAAGAACTTATTTGCCAATCCATTACAAGTAACGAGTAAGTACTCAAATAGGGATGAAGAAGAGAACTAGAGAAGAGAACTTATGGAAGGCCCTGAAACCAAAATTTGAATCAACAGGAACAGAATTATATATTTATAATTTATTTGGGTCAGCGAAAAAAAATATACTTATTTCAATATTATAATTTCGTCATCTTAAGAGGCGGGTGATTTATTATTCACTAACAAAGATAATGGATATAAACAGAAGATGAAAGACGCACATGCATCCTGCATTGAGGACGCATGCATCTTAAGTTTTGCATCTTTGGTGTAAAAGGGGCCTTACACATGATAAGAGATTACTGTAATATACATTGTCAAAGAAACAATCCCAGAATAGCTTCCTCATTAACTTGATGAATAGAAAAAATGAATGTGAGTACTTTTTGGCAGGTATGTTGCAAAAACAACACGGAACATCACCATCATTCCTTCCAGCATTATCATCTCTTAGCCTTTTCTGACCTCTGTTGCTCCCACCTCCTCTGTCCCAAGTATCATCTAGGATAAAATGAAAGAAAGAGTTAAAATTCTAGTTAAAAATCAAAATCAAATAAAATTAAAATAATAAATAATGGAGACAGGGTTGATTGTAAATTAAATCAAGATAAAAGTTGGGGGTTTAGTCATAAATAAAATAATATAAAAGAATAATAGAAATGAGAAAACTAAATCCTTAGAACAATTTTTTTTTGCGTTCTAAGATAAAATATTGCCTCTATAATTGAATGATCAAGAAAAATGAATGAATATACAGTTTTGTGTTTCATGTGACCTGATAACCCAAATATGTAAACTTAACCTTTCTTAAAATTATTATCATCTAATAGTAATAAATTATTTAATTAAGATGTCTGCTTACTGGGTTTAATTTTTAATTGACTAAATTATGTATATATATATATATATATATATATATAAGCGAAGACAATCTGGAATACTTCTGAACCTCAAAGAACGAAACGACAAAATTGAAAAAAGGGAGTATCTTAAAAATAAAATAATTGAAATAGAAGCTAATAGAATCGAAAATAAGGTAAGAGACATGTACAAAGGTATAAACAGATCACGTAAATGTTTAGGGCCCGTAACGTCTGGAAGTAGGGATGAAAATAACAATATTCTGACCGATCCGGTTGACATATTGAATAAGTTTAAGAACCACTTTGACAATATTTTAAATACGGGAAATTATGATCTGTGTCTTCCTTCTGAGTACCAGAGTGCTGAACCATTAATAGAAGGACCAAGTAAAGAGGAAGTTGAAGTAGCTATCGGAAAATTGAAATCTTATAAAGCAGCGGGAACCGATAATATTCCTACTGAACTAATTAAGGCATGCCCCCGCATGCCTTAATTAGTTTTAGAAATTCTAAAATACATCGGTAGGTTAAAAAGATCTGGGAGAATGAGAGATTACCTGAAGAATGGAAAGAATCTATTCTTATTCCGATTCAATAACTATCAAGGAATTTCACTCCTTCCGGTGTGTTATAAAATATTCACTTTAATCTTAACCAGTCGAATCACGGAATACAGCGAGGAAATTATCGGAGACTACCAATGTGGATTTAAACAGAATCGTTTGACTATTGATCAAATATTTTCTTTACGGCAAATATTAGAGAAAAAATTGGAGTACAACGGTACATCAGCTGTATATAGATTTTAAAAAGTCTTACGATTCTATTGACCGCCAGAAACTGTATAATATTCTAATCGAGCAGGGGATTCCAAAAAAAACTAGTAAATCTAGTCAGAATGTGTTTGACGGAAACACTCAATAAAGTTAGAATCGGTAATAATCTGTCCGAAAAATTTGAGGTTCGTTCGGGTTTAAAACAGGGGGATTCCCTTTCGCCTGTCCTGTTCAATTTGGCTTTAGAACATGCCATTAGGGAGGTAATGCGTAGAAAGGGTTGGATATGGGTGGGACAACATCCGTGCTGGGCTATGCTGATGATCTGGTACTGTTAAGCGAAGACGTGGAAACTATAAAACTAAATACGACAACGTTAATGAAAGCTGGTAAAGAACTAGGACTCAAAATAAACGCGGATAAAACAAAATATATGGTTAGCTGCAAAAATGGCAATACTACTGGTGATATCGATATAGATGGTAATATGTTTGAACAGGTAGAGAAATTTAGGTATCTAGGTTCTATGATAACTAGAAAAAACAAAATTGAAGAAGAGATTAAGGTTAGACTGAAGGCGGGAAATGTTTGTTATTTTTCTGTGACAAAACTACTTAGCTTAAAACTAATTAGAATCTATAAAACTATTATCACATCTACAGTTCTTTATGGATGCGAAACTTGGCCGCTTACATTAAGGGATGAGTAGCATCTTAAGGTTTTTGAAAATAAAGTATTGCATAGAATATTCGGACCGAAGAAGGATGAGTTAACCGGAGAGTTCAGACGGTTACACAATGCCGAATTGCGTGAACTGTATCCGGGTAATATAATTGAGGTAATTTTATTATGACGAATCAAATGGGCTTGTAAAATTGTTAGGCTTAGTAACGAGAGGATTCCTAAAAGGTTAATATTTACGGTACCGAATGGTAAACATCCGAGGGGTAGACCGAAGTGAAGGTGGGAAGATTGCATTAAAGCCGATCTGAAGGGACTGGGTTTGGACGGCGAACGGTGGAAGGAGGTGTGTAATAAGCGATTGGTGGTGTCGGCAACGAACCTTCGGGTCCGCTAAGCCTTTTATTATTATTTATTATATGTACATATATATTAAATGAAACACGAAACTATTTTGCCTATGTCATACTGAAACCATTAAGCGTTTCAGAAAATCTCGCAACAACCCATTTAAACATTTATATGTCTAGTTGTTGATAAATTTAGTTTGTTTGTTTAGGCTTTAAGGCGTAAAACCCTAGGGTCATCAATGCCTGAGATAAAATTAATTTAATCTGGACTTTAGTTATCCAGACTAGGTTCCGATCCCATCTAATCTGGATTAGTGGCATTCTAGTGAAGTAGAGTACTATATATTTACCTGTATCAGTACTTTGAAGTGAGCTTAATGAATGGTATCCTGATGATGTAGAAGCTTGAGTATAGTTATAAGACACTTGAGTAGCTAGGGAAGGATTGCTACCTAAAAAAAGTTATTTATAGAAAATATACAAAATAAATAAATCAACAGCACATTATAATAAAATAAAATAGAAGACTGTTTTACTTATTGTGGGTCTAATGTGATATTACTTAAAAACAAAACAACTAAGGTTTTGAAAATATTAAAAAATACATGAACAGAACAGGAAAATTTTTTTTGTTTTAAGGATAGTTATTTGTTTGTAGATTTAGTTCACAACACTCACTACTTCCCACCTCTTGCACAGTAGGAGATCTGGAAAATGGTAGCCTTGGAGCGTCAAAAGATTGGCCTTGGACCAAATGAGACTTATTTCCTAGGTTTTTGAACAAGAATTGGTCTCAGTTGATTTATATGCCACTTTACTGACCTGCCTGAGTCCAACAAAATTTTATAATGCTGGGAGCCAAACTTCTTTTCAAATTCTCACACTTGTTTATTGTTTATATTTAGCCGAACTTACACCCTCTTCTCCACTTGAAGGGAACGGCATGGATATGAAGAGAATGCTGGTGTTTAGACAGGAAAATAGTATCCAATCTTATTTTAAACTGGCGGTGTAGATAAATCTCTGCTGAGGATTTTCTACAGGCCAGGGTTGTGGCTTTATATCGAACTTGCACCTTCTCAATATGATCAGTGTCATTCGCAGCAACCTTAGTCTGTATTTTAAAGTTTGAACGTTACGTTTGTCCAGATCATTTATGGGAAGAAGCTCTGGTGCAATAAACTTTTAAAAATTCGATTAATAGTACAATAAGTGTGGAATTCCTCACTTTGGAAGATTACTAGGAGACAATTACTTGAGGATATCCATGTGATGCAAAGATAGTTTCCAAATGTGAGATGGTAGTGAAAGGAATTAAAAAATAATTTTATTCTAGGACTACTGTCCCCTAAGAATAATAACAGAGTTACAAATTTATAGGTGTTAGTCTGACATAACCAAAATACAAACTAGTTTACTGTTAATTGCTTTTTCAGTTGTGAAATAGATTGAAATTAAACATTGTACAGATGCAAGTAATTTTACATGTTAGGGGAAGTTTGAATGTGGAGTAGGTGGTGGAACAGGAGTTGTTTGAAGGAATTTGTGGACGAGGATTGACGCATGGAGGTAGGAAATGAGTTCCATAAAGAAGCAGAACGAATGACGAAGGATTTGCTGAAGGAGGAAGTTTTATGGGAGGGAATATATAAGTCTAGGTTGAGACCTAGTATTGAGAGAGTGGATAGAGGAGCGTAGAGTAAGGAGTTGCAGAATGTTCGGAGGGTTTTTGGTCCTGAAGACTTAGAAAAGGAAAACACCAAGGAGGAATTGTCGTCGGGAAGTAGGATAAAGCCACTTCAACTCGGTGTACCAGAGTGAAACATGTGAACGCCTGGGGATCCCAAAAATGTATCTTATGAAACAATTCATGAGTCTCTTTAGTCTCATTTCCAGCCTGGCTCAAACGCTTTGGATAAGTCAAAAAGAATTAGGATGGAGATTTTCTGTAACGATGGTAGAGGAACTAGTTGGTGCATCCTTGCTGATTTTTATCTCGATCCACTTAGATTTATTCTCTACAACAACCAGGAAAAAACAATTTGCAAATGGACTGGTATAATCCAGGTGAATCCTTTCCCAGTTATCGTTTGGAGGATCCCAAGGATGGACTTACACTTTTGGAGGATTTGTTCAGGTCAAAACGCAACCTTCACAACTCTTGACTACGTGCTCGATATCTTTATCAATATGAGGTCAATAGACCTAACGACGAGCTAGCTGTTTCACCTTGGTGATTCCCAGATGAATATGGTGGAACTCTTCTAAAACGCTGAAATGTAGGCAACTTGGAATAAAAACTTTTGTTAGAAAATTTCCTCAGTTTATTATATTCCACAATATGCCTTAATTATTCCATTTTCTGTTCTAAGGATAAACATTTGTTTTTGTTGAGGTGCAAGTCAAATTGGGAAAGTATCCTACTTTAGTAAGGAGATAAACATGAAGGTTTTGGATAAATTCTCCCTTGGATGGACCAATATCATGTCGTCAAAATATGATTCAGTATTTGGAAGTCCTTTCAGAATTGGGCCCAATATGTGATTGAATTATGACGTTGCTGTTTTATTCCAAAGCCAAGTCAAATGCCAAATGGATAAATCCAACATTAAATGCAAATCCTGTTCTAAAGTGGATCTAAAATATGTATTACCACGAAAATCCGAGAACCCAAAAATATAGCCTGTTCAAGTTCTACAAACATATTAGAACATCATCAATGAATGGGGTGTTTTGCTTAAACTTAACGCATGATCTCAAAATATTTTATTAGTCCCAGAATAATAAAATATTTTTTTCATTTCATTTCAACCTTCGAGGAGGATTGTAGGGATGAGTGGAACTACATAGGGATTGTACAAGAGCATTTGGATGATTTGTAAAGTTCTGATGGAACTTGGAAATTTTTTCAGGGATAAGGCCTAGGACAAATAGAATATTAAGGTCATGATGTAGGGTTTTGTTGGTAACATAAAATGGAGCATTGACTATTCTATTGTTTAGAGGACTTTGGACTGAAAGGATTGGATGCGTTTGATGTTAGAAAATTTAGCTGTCCCACAAAGTTTAAGTCCGTAGGTCTAAATAGATTTCAGGATTGTATATTATAATATTTTAAAAAATGAAAATATTTCAGTACTGCTTAAATAGGTGGTGGGGAAGAAACTTCTTTTGTTATCTACTGTTACATCACAGGGAATTGACTATTTCAATTTCAAATCAAACTTTTTTGTTATTATTACATTTGTTTTCGTCTATTTAATATATATTTTGTAAAATAAAAGTATTTAATCAAACTGTTTTGTTATTATTGCATTTGTTTTCGTCTATTCAATATATATCATGGGTGATAAATATTCAGGACGCAGTCTTTTTTATTTTTAAATTTTTGTTAATTTTTGCCAACGTTTCAACCCAAACATGTGGGTCATCTTCAGGGCGTGGTTTGTTCATGTACATGAATAACCTCAGTTCTCAAACCACGCCCTGAAGATGATCCACATGTTTGGATTGAAACGTTGGCAAAAATAAATTTTTTTTTAAAAAAGACTGCGTCCTGAATATTTATCACCCATGATATGTAGAACAGTTGACTAACTTCCTTCGAGTATTCAATATATATGTTGTAAAATAAGAGTATTTTTTTATTTAACCTCCCTTCTAATCTATTTGTCTATTTAATATATCTGTCATACAATTAAAAGTGTTTTGTTATTTTTGTGGGAATTATTACATTTGTTTTCGTCTATTTAACATATATGTTGTAAAATAAAAGTCTTTTTTTTATTATTAGGTTTGTCTTTGTTTACAATTTCAATAATATGAATATAATACAATAAATATGAATATGAAGATAGGAATTATCAGTGACTTATCTCAATTATCAGTGTTGAGCTTATAAACATTGGCAGATAGCAGTCTGGACGGGCTATTTATGGAGTAACAAAATTCTGTGCATCCCTAATTATCCTATACCAAAATTCTGCGTATTGCAGTGTAGGTATTGGCAACAAAGTAATGTTTGTATTTATTAAATTGGAAAGTGAATAACTCCTTGGTCGTTTAGAGGTAGAAGTCAAAACCATAGAGGTCAAAATATATTAAAATTAGATACTGGAGAGATTTTCACTAATAATCCCATGAAGAGAAGAGTATCAATAACAATCCTAATTTATTTATAGAATTCCTTTAGTCTTATGTTAGTTTTACCACAGCTGCCTCTGGTCAAGTTAAAATTATAAGTTTTATTCTATGAATATAATACACACTGACAGGTAAAAAATTCCACCCACTTGATTTTTCCATGTTTTCATCTCAAAATATTTCTGTAAAGTTGTATTTGTATATAATATGTGGTATTTGTAGATAATACTTAGTATTTATGGAATTTTATAATCTTTTTTACCTTTAATAATCAAAATGTGATTGGGTAAGAAAGATTAGAGAAAAAAAAATTGAAAAACGAACCATTGTTATTCTAAAAGAAATTAATTACATCATCGTTTAGTAACGCATGTTTCCTCCTCTTACATTCACTACTTCTTGAAGACGCCTCGGCATACTTTCCACCAGTCAGGAAATGTCCCTTTGCTGGAGGATAGCCCCTTTCAAGGTCCTGCAGTGTATTAGGAAGTGTAGCACGCGCTCTTATTCGTCTTCCGAGGTTATCTCATAAATGCTCAATGGGGTTCAAATCTGGAGAACGTGCTGGCCAGGCTAAAACCTCAATATCGTTCTGTTGAAGGAACGTCTGCACTATGCGACATGTGGGCGTGCATTAGAATAGAACGATCGCCGATTTTGTTGAGGATAGGCAACACATCAGGTTCCAAAATCTCATCCACATAGTGAATGGCTGTCAAAGACCCTCCACGAACAACAACTAATTCTGTGCGGCGCTCCATTGAAATCCCAGCCCACACCATTAAGGAACCACGTTGGAAAGGTTGGCTCTAGGAAAAATTACACGCTGCATATCTTTCGTTTCTTCTTCTCCACACCCTTTCACGTCCGTCTGGAGATCGAAGAGCGAATCTTGACTCATCTGTAAAAAGTACAGCACTCCATTCGTCTATAGTCCAATGGCTGTGTTCTGGAGCAAAAGCCAGCCGTGTCACTCTGTGAGTTCTGGTCAACTCTGGTCCTCTTACTGGACCGATACCGAGCGGTACGTTCAGAAATTTGCACACCTCGAACTTCCTCCAACTCCAACTCCAATGGCATTAGCTGCATATCTAATGGAACATCCATTATCAATAAGTGCCACACCATGCGCAACATTCTCAGCACTAAGAGACATTTTTAAACTTAATATTGAAAAAATTAAAAGCCGGAGACTAAGAAATGACACTGAACTAATGATACTGAATAAACATTTTGATTCCATAGAAAGTAAACATTGGAATCTAGAATCATTTCATTGAATTAAGGATTAAGGGTTATTGTCCTCTAT